TTTCTTTGGGCCACGGTTCTTTTTTAAGGGTTTAGCTTGAACCGGGTATAGGTAGTTTTTGTTTTTGTTCTTTTTTTTTTTTAGTTGTAGGTTAGGATTAATGGGCGACGAGCTTAAAAAAAATCGAAGAAGAAAAACCCTTAGCGTTTTTACACCTGAACACGATAGACACTAGAGTGTAGCGCTTAGCTTCAAGGGTTGAATCTTATTTAAGTGCCTTAAAAATTGTGTGTTTGTACCTAACTCGAACACTCAAAAGAGAATGTCTTGATAAACTAATACGGAGTGAATCATGTGCCAAGTGTGTGTGAGTGTTACTGTATTCCATGCTTTACATTTGATGCCTAAAACTTGCCCTGTGTGTTTGCGAAACGAAATAGTAGCGTCATTCAATTTGAGAAGTGATATAGGCATTTCTTTGTTGAGCCAGACATATAAAGTAAACCCACCTGAATGCATCACATCTTAGTTAACCCCGTTGAGCCTATAAGCCTGTTTCTTTGGTAACCACATTGTGAACTTTACCCAATTGTTTGAATAGCCTGCTGTTTGAACCAATTTTTCCTCTCACTAAGCACTAGAATGGTATGAAAAATATGCAAAAGCAAAAGTGTGGGGTGGTGGTTTGGTTTTTGAAGTGAAACCATGGAAATAGAGAAAAGGTGCAGAATGTGAAGCATAAAAAGAGAAGCACCACGAAAAAAAATAATAATAATAATATATTGTATAGGGATTAATAAGTGGTAGCTGTACAAATTGCACCTAATGTATGGGGATGTTTAAATAAATGTTGTGGAGTGTTGGCTGACAAAACGATGAGCTTGAAGTTCAATGTAATTGTATTAAAAGTGCTTAGGGAGGTTAGTCACTATATCCAAATATATCCTACCCATCCCTTAGCCCACATTACGACCAAATAAAGTCCTATTGATCTTAGACTGAGTGGGGCTCGATTAGTCGAGTACTACACTATGGGCAAGCCTATGGTGCATCTTTGTGGCATGTGAATGTTCTTTTTGGAGAGTGAGCGAATTCTGTCTATTTTAGTTCCTAATTGTTATCACTATCATTATATATGGAACTACTCTCTTGTGTGATGTTAGGGCATGTGATTCACAAAGGAAAGGTACGTCTTGATTCTTGTGTAGAGTGGTTTGAGTAAGTGCAAATATTACGGGGTACGAAAGATTTGATTCTTGAGGTAAAGTTTGCTCACTACTAGGTTTAACTTGTGTAAAATGTTCATGGTGTGAGTCGTTGAGGGAAAAGCTTAAGGAAGGAATTTTTGATGGAGTGTGGTGAATTGCTCGAGGACTAGCAATAATTTAAGTGTGGGGTGTTGATAGTAGGCTATATAGTTGATATTTACACCTTAATTGCTAATGCTTTGTTGTTGTTTTATAAGGTAAATTGCCAACAAAATACTTTAAATAGTGTTATTTGGTTTCGCAGGGAATATTATATTTGAGGAAGCAACATGAAGTGTTTGGAGGCAATAATGTGAAGAAAATACCCACTCAAGAAGTACCCGAACACAAAGGAGCAAAAGAAAATGACTGGACAAAAGTCCACCGCGACCGCGGTGGACCGCGGAGCAGAGCGCGGAGACAAAACACAAAAAAAATAGGCTCAGGCAGAGTTCATCGCGGTCGACCGCGGTCCACGCCGCGGCCGCAGTGAACTGTTCACGACTTGGAAATTTAGGGGCCAAAGTGTCAATTCGGGAAAAGTTTTGTAAAACCCTTATAAGATGTAGAAACTCGCCCAAGATTAAAAAGGCTTGTTTTGAGATTACTTTTGGAGGAGGAACAAGTGTGAGAGATCACCCAAAAACATTATAGTTCTTTATCTCTTCTATTTTCTTGCAATTCTTCCATTATGAATGATTTAGTTGTTTTCTCTTACTTTGTTATGAGTAGCTAAATACTTTAATCTAAGGTTTTAGTGAAACCCGTTGGGGATGACTTGGTTGTTATATTAATATAGTTTTGAATTGGTTGTTAATTTCTATTTGTTCATCTACGTCTTGATTGTGGTTAATTGAAAGGGCCCTCAATTATCCGTCCCTATTTAGTATGTATCTGCTTGAGAGAGAGTGCATATTTAGGTAATTGTATGAACAACATCACTCCCGGAGTATAGACGAGAGTCATAACCGAGGGTTTAGAGGTTGGATTAGAGATGACGATACCTCGGGTGCAATCTAAGTGAACCGTAATGCGAATCTAGCTAGCGTAGCTTGAGAAAGTGCGTCTAGTAAATTATCATAATTGCTTGAAAAAGATTTATGATAGCTGGAGCGTTCATGATTGATGGAGACAACTAAGTCTCAGTTATAGAAAAAAATACTCACCCAAGAAAATCAACAACGGGGGAAACCATTACCTTAGACCTTATTCCAATTATATACAAAGCTAGCTTAGTTAACTTTCAGCTGTTATTTATTTTCAGTTTAGTTGTTAGATATATCACCAATTGTGAATCACAAAGTTTGGAGAAATTGATTCTGTGAATTTAGTAAGTCCGACAAAAGTAATTGATAGGTTAATTATCTGTGGTTCGACTCTGGGCAGCATTATTCAGATTATATTTGCAACGTCCGTGTATCTTTTATAAGGCATAGTTTGACATTATCACTCTGCTTCATAGCGTTAGAGGAAGACCAGCAAACGAGATGGAGCCTAGCTCTTTGTTTTAACGTATATGATTCCAAACATTAACTTTTCGATACTACATGAGTTCAAATCAGTAGTACTACTTATTAAAAAAGAAGCATATAAGCCTAAAAATAAAAAATATTGTTATAAAAACAAAATTTAAAAAAGTACGAACTATACTATTTTGGATTCTGTCGTAGTTGCATCAGGGGAGAAAGAGGAATGTGCACATAATGACACAGCGTGACCCATCTTTTGTTACTGACCTAGATTGCTACGTGGCCCAATGAAAAATCGCCATGTCATTAAATAGAAGGCCCACAGGTTCTGCCGTTAGTCGCGGAGGTAATTTTATTAATAGAATTAACGTCGTGTGCTTTTTTGGACGAATAGGTGGACGGAAGGCATTTGTAAACCATTTAGTAAAGGATAGGGGTAGTTTAGGCCCTTTTCCGTTTACTATAAGTAGAACTTAATTAAGTTGTAAAATCAAATAATTTTTCTTCTGAAAGGAACTATAAAAGAGATTGGAGTGTGAAAAGAAGGCATGATAGGCGGATGTAGAGTATAATTACTGAATTCGTTGAAATAGTAGTTTTGGCATGAATTATTTATATGCGTTAAAAGTTAATAAAAACCAATACAAATAATTGATTCTGAATTATCAAATAAATTATGGTAGAATCTCGAACTAAAATTCATAAAGTTCAAACTCTTTGTAAGTAAAATAATATTAAAATAATAAAATTAAATTAGTAAGTTTTATAGAAAAAGACATAAATTTGATGACCATTAACTCCTCAACAACAACAACAACAACAACAAACCCAGTTTGAACCCAACATGTGGGGTCTGGGGAGGGTAGTCTGTACGCAGACCTTACCCCTACCTAATGCAGATAGAGAGGCTGTTTCCAATAGACCCTCGGCTCAGGTGGATGACCATTAACTCAAATATAAAAATTAGGGGTATCAATGGTTCGGTTCGGCCGGTTATTTTTAAAATTTGTATCATATCAATTTTTCAGTTATTCTATTATGTATAACCAAAAGTAGACTTTTCGAAACCGTCCCAATCATATCGGGTTCTATTCGGTATCGGTACGGCTCGATTAATTTTTAGTAATTTTTTTTAAATATAATATAAAAGTCACTAGTAGAAGTAGAATGCTATAACATACATACTTTTAGATGACTCAGCAAAACTTTCTAGACATTTCTACAGTTTAAAAGGTAATGAATTAAGAAAATATGAAAGATGGCTAGAGTATAGATCCATCAACTATTCTACAACAACGTAAAAGAAACTAAGCAAATACAACGAAAATATAAATTACACGAGTGGAAAGATATTAAACAAAGTGGGATTCAAGAATAAAGTCTAAAAAAGTCTCAAAAAGATAAATATAAATCATACGAAAGGAAATATATTCAATACATTATAATTTGCTACTCATGACCGGTACAATACCCTGTGTCTTGCTAGTGAATATGCTGGAAAGAATTTAGTTTCAATAGGAGTATCATAATAGATTTGGAATTAGGATTTTTAGTTTAATTATTTGTTGGCTTGTAACTGTTTTATAATTCCAAGGGCCAAAAAAAATTCAATACTTTATTATTTTTAAACTTAATATATAAATATATTTTTTACATTGTAAATTTATTCGATATGATTCGGTAGTTTTTCGATTTATTCTCATAAAATAAAAAAACTTATCCTAATTATCGGTACGATTATAGATTTATATAATAATTTACGATTTTATTAAAAGAAACCTAAAAATTATTCGATACGATATAATTCGATCGATTTAATTGATTTTTAAATATCGATTGTCACACCTAATAGAAATTCACTTTTATCGATTGTCATGATATAATTTCCGAGATAGATGCTAAATCTCTCCCTTGACATAAAAAAATTCAACCACCTAATTGACTAATGACTACCACTTCACTTCCCTTTATGGCTCTCCATTCACCAACCCCAACATAACTTCACCAACATCCTAACAATAAAATAACAAAAAAACAAAGTAAGACCTCACTATAATAGTTTTACTCTATAATAACACATTATTATAATGTTCAATTTTTTTGGAACCAAATTTTTATATTATATTATACGTAATATATATATTTTATATAACAGCATATTAATATAGCAACTAAAAAATATCGAAATAAAGAAAACTGTTTCAAAGATGTTTGACAGTATTCATAAAAAATAAATAAAAAAGAACAAGAAATTTAAAAAGAAAAGGGTGGACAAGGGCATTATTGTCATTTCGGTCAATCTTTCCTCTTTAAATATCCACTTCCACTTCCTCTCCAATTTGCCCACAGCCCTTAAATTTTCTCTCTTTCATTTCTTCCTCTCCAACTTTCTTCTGCCCCTTTCAATTTTCCTCTAATGGATCCCGTTTCAGTTTGGGGCAACGAACCTCTCTCCGCTGTAGATCCCGAAATCCACGACCTAATCGAAAAGGAAAAACGCCGTCAAAGCCACGGAATCGAACTAATCGCATCGGAAAACTTCACATCATTCGCCGTAATTGAAGCTCTCGGCAGTGCTTTAACCAACAAATACTCCGAAGGAATTCCCGGTAACCGTTACTACGGCGGTAATGAATACATTGACATAATCGAAAACCTAACCAGAAGCCGTGCTTTAACGGCTTTTCATTTAGATCCAACAAAATGGGGTGTAAATGTTCAACCCTATTCTGGTAGCCCAGCGAATTTCGCTGCGTACACAGCTGTTTTGAATCCACATGATAGGATTATGGGATTGGATTTACCATCTGGTGGACATTTAACTCATGGTTATTATACTTCTGGTGGGAAAAAAATTTCTGCAACTTCGATTTATTTTGAGAGTTTGCCTTATAAGGTGAATTCAACAAATGGGTATATTGATTATGATAGGTTGGAAGAGAAGGCTTTGGATTTTAGGCCTAAATTGATTATTTGTGGAGGTAGTGCTTATCCTAGAGATTGGGATTATAAGAGATTTAGAGAAATTGCTGATAAATGTGGGGCCCTTTTGCTTTGTGATATGGCTCACATTAGTGGCCTTGTTGCTGCTCAGGTATATTTTTTTGCTCTGTTCTTCGTTTTACATTTTTGGTGTTACTTCGATCTGCATTAGGATTTTGGAATTTTCACAGATCTGCATTGGCGAATCTAGTAGCTTTCGCCTTAGACTCTATTTATGTGTTAAAAATTAATTATATATGTACCAATATTATATTCAGAACCCATTTTTACTAGCACTTAAGGTCGTTATCCTTGAATTCAGAACGCATAAAGTTCAAATCCTAGATCCGCATGCCTTAACATATTATAGATCTCTGTGCCATGCTTTGTGATCTATGTGTTCATTTTGATTAAACACATTTGTTTTACTAGATATGTGCTTCTCACCAAATATGCACAAATATTAAATTTAGAACCTAGTTTTACTAGCACTCCAGTTCGTTATCCTAGAATTCGGAATGCATAAAGTTCAAATCCCAGATCGGCGTGGTTGTTTGTATAAAGTGCCTTAAAATATTATAGATCTGGGTGCCGTGCATTGTGATCTATGTGTTCATTTTGATTAATTAATCATTAAGATAATTTCATGTGAAGTTAATACAGATTGTTCTCTCAAACAAGTGGATCTAGAGTGAGGAAAAGATTAAAATATGGAAACTAGAATTGGATCAACTAGTGTTTCAATTTTTCTCTTTGCATGAGCATTATGAGGCTTAATGCGGACCAATGGTTTCAGCTTTTCTTGAGATATCAGTTCTGATACCACACTTGAATTTGATGTGGATTGTTAGCATCCGTTTTAATAGATGCAATCCGAGATATAGGTCTTCTTGTTGTGCTTCAAGCTGAATCTTGTTATTTGTGGACAACAGGAAGCTGCGGATCCCTTTGAATATTGTGACTTGGTCACTACCACTACTCACAAGAGCTTGAGGGGTCCAAGGGCCGGTATGATCTTCTACCGCAAGGGCCCTAAGCCACCAAAGAAGGGACAGCCTGAGGATGCGGTCTATGACTTTGAAGACAAGATTAACTTTGCTGTTTTCCCCTCGCTCCAGGGTGGTCCTCACAACCACCAAATTGGTGCTCTTGCTGTTGCCCTGAAACAGGCCGCAACTCCTGGTTTTAAGGCGTATGCTAAGCAAGTGAAGGCCAATGCAGTTGCTCTTGGTAACTACCTCATGAGCAAAGGATACAAGCTTGTAACTGGTGGGACTGAGAACCACCTTGTCCTTTGGGATCTTAGACCTCTTGGTTTGACTGGTAAGAGTTCTTTCTATTCTCAATCATCTTGGAGAAAGTCTTCTAACCATTTAAATAGTGATTGATGTAAACGAACTATTTTGTTTTTTTGCAGGTAACAAGGTTGAGAAGCTTTGTGACCTTGCCAACATTACTGTTAACAAGAATGCTGTTTTCGGTGACAGCAGTGCTTTGGCCCCAGGAGGTGTTCGTATTGGTAAGTTTCATGTTGAACTTCTAGTAAATCTGATTAGTTAAAAAGTGACTCGAAGCAAATTTTATGTTTCCTTTTCAATATCTTGAGCTTGATATCAAGGTCAGTGAAAATTTTTTTCCTTCTGAGTATATGATGGGGATCCATGTTCCATAAAATGTTGGATTATAATGTAGACCTACTTCTTAGTGTGTCAATAAAGCGATTAAAGTAGGAAAAAAGAAAAGCTTAAATGACAACTTCTTCAGCTATTAAATTTTTTCTAAATGTTTTTAGTTCCATGAACCTATTTTATACAGGATATTAAGGTCCTTCAATAGACATTTTTAACTAACTGAAGTTCCCATTTGCAGGTACTCCTGCAATGACATCAAGGGGATTGGTTGAGAAGGACTTCGAGCAGATTGCCGAGTTCCTCCACAGGGCTGTTACCATCACCTTGAACATCCAGAAGGAGTATGGAAAGCTTTTAAAGGATTTCAACAAGGGTCTTGTTAATAACAAGGAAATTGAAGAACTCAAGGCTGACGTCGAGAAATTCTCATCCTCCTTTGACATGCCCGGCTTCAAGTTGTCTGAGATGAAGTACAAGGACTAAATTCACAGTGCATCGCAACTGCTATCGTATTTCTTGGTTTGTTTCTTTAGTTTGGATGGAAGAAAAAATTTCTCTACAAGTTATATCCAATTCAGAAAAAAAAACAATAATGGTTTACCTCTTTATTCTGCACTTGGTGCTGTAGGTTATTGGATTTTTGTCTTGCAAGGCAATTCGTAAGTGGCCTCTTCTTAAACTTTACCAAGATTGTTGTGTCCAAAATGAGTACCACGAATGTATGTTGTTTTCATTTCTTGTATCCTAGTAATTCAAGCAATGCTCTGTCTCTTATATAAGACTGATCACATTTTCGTACCCATATAAAGTGAACGATATTTTCATCTCCAACTTAAAGACGTTGACAGTTGATCAGTTCGTGGAGTTCATAATTTATTAAAAATGTAGGGAGTCTCATGAAAAATTGATCGATATGAGCACCAGACCGTATGTAATGGCTCGTCCCTACAAACTGAAAGGCCTTTCTTCAACTCCCTTTGAGGAAAGTGCCGACATCTAATTGATTTGAGCCATGTATCTTAGGAAAGATTTAACGAAATTTCTATCTTTTTCAAATATAGGGAAAGAAAACTTAAAATTAGTTTCGCCAGGAAAACATGGTGCCTGGTTTAGTTTTACAATACACTAGATCAATGGCGGACCTAAACACTATATTTTTTATAGTGGAAGCTACTAATAACATACAAATATAGCCGAGCAACCAATCTCAAAGTAGCCCTCTGAAATTTAAGCCGGTTGAGCAAAATCACGACTAAAACATTCTGAATCTGCCACTGCACTAGTGTAACCGCTATCAGGTGAAATCTATTCAAACTCATCATACTGGTCTACTGGATGTCACATGTACAACACTAAACATAACAACATACCCAGTATAATCCCACCTAGTGGGTCTGGGAAGAGTAGTGTGTACGTAGATCTTACTCTTACCTTGTGAAGATAGAGAGGCCGTTTCCAATATGTCTCGGCTCAGCATACCGGTCTACTGGATGTCACATGTACAACACTAAAGAGGACATAACCAGGACGCACAATAAATTATAGATGCACCAAACATGGAACGACCTGAGTCTTGTAAGCTGATAACCAGCATCAGATAATGCACCAAAATCAAGCATTTAGACAATTTTAAAATGGAATACACATATTAAGTGACCTATTATAGGATTAAACTTTAGACAGGCCAATGGAATTACATGGTAATGAACATATCTATTTCTTTAAATAATAAACTTTCTTCAGTTTCTTGCTTACAATCCATAGAAACCAGAATGTGAGGAAATTCAATGACAAGTAGCTCAGCATAAATCGTTTTACATCAGATAATTTACAGAGAACATAATACAAGAGCAGATTAAATATATAACCATGGAAAAATGAGATTGTTCTATTCAGTTTCTGTATGCTGGACTAGTAGTTTATCAGTATGTACTAAGTCAAGCATGAAACGTCTAATGAATAATCACTGCCAGAGGCTGAAACCCTTGTGATCTCAATCAAATATTTCCTGAGCTTCAATTATGCTGTGCTGGCTGAAAAAAATTGGAAGGGGGTGGG